AAAAAAAAAAAAAAAAAAAAAAAAAAAGAAAAAGAAAGAAAGAAGAAAAAGAAGGGAATTAATGCCGCTGCGACCGGGGGCCGCTAGATCATCCCAACTAAAATGAGGGTCCAGATCAGCGCGCAGATCTGACGCTCAACTTCCTTTTCGCTTTTTATTTTCCTTTCTTTTTCTTTCTTTAACTCTTTTCCTGTTCGATCGTGACAGCAGCTCCGTGCATATAACCCATAACTTACCTAGGGAGACCCGGGGCGCGGTAGGAAAACTGCGCCGGTCTCTCTGCCTTTGTGTCCCTGGGCGAGCCTGGCGGCTACCGCGGCCACAGGCAGATAGTGCTCTGCTGTACAGCAGGGCGCCGAGCCTGCATGGACCAAAGGAAAGTCCAGTGGCGCGCCCCCACTCTTTTGCTAGGGTGGACGCTTGCTGGACCTACCTGCAGCAGAATGTCCCCTTGGGTATACCTGGCGCACTGCAGAAGTCCATAAGCAGTACTCCGCGAAGGCCCATGCGGCGCACAAGTTTCCCGGGACCAGGCATTGGGTACTCAGCGGAGGGCCGGGACACTGGGCCCTCCGACAACACGTGGGCCCGACAGTCAAGACCACACACGCCAGCGACGTCCTGGGCAGCTGTGGCGTTTGAAGGCGTCAGCAACGTGCTGAGCAGCTGTGCTGTGTGAAGGCGACAGGAACGTGGTGGTAGGCTGCCATGCTGTGTGAAGGTGACAGTGAGGCGACTCAAATTCTCTCTCTCTCTCATGCACACACATGGCATAGAAGGTTGGCTCGTGCGAGGGTGGCACTTGCATTCGTGATGATGGAGGAGGACACATGAGGGGGACCACGGCGATGGAGGGAGGGGGAGGGAGGCGGAGGAGGGAGCAGGACGAGGACGATGAATGAAGAAGGGAGGAAGGAGCGAGGAGGAGGAGGGAGAAGGACGAGGACGATGAACGGAGAAGGGGGCGTGGAGCGAGGACGAGGGAGGATGGACTGAGGATGAGGGAGGAGGGCGGAGGACGGATGGAGGAGGACAGGGCGGTCAAGGAAGAGGGAGGATGCAGAGGGGAGGAGGAGGATGGAGGGAGGAGGAAGGAGGAAGAGGGAGGAGGGAGGAGGACGAGTGAGCATAGTAGTAAGAAGGCTGAGGTCAGGGTTTTTTTGACGTTTCTTTTTGTTCTTTTTTCCGCCGGGATGAATTGATTGATTGATTCATTCATGTCACAGTCATTGCACGGCAAATGCACTCTCTCTTTCTCTCTCTCACACACACACACACACACACATCAATCGGTGTGCCATTCAGCACGCAGTGCCATGCGGAAGGCACCCGAATCTGGACGTGTTCGTGAAGAGGTGCAGAAAAATGCGAATTCATCTACTTTTCTGCATTGCTGCACAAAACACATCCAGATTCGTATGCTTAATCCAACCTCTTTGCGCATGAAAAGGGAAAACTGATGTGGAAGGTAAGGGGCAGGATGAGGTGGAAGGGTGGAAAGGGGGCGAGGATGACATGAAAGGGGAGGGGCCCAGGGGGGAAGGCGATGACAGTGGCGATGACAACAACAACAACGGTGACTGTGATGAGGATGACCATGGAAGAAGAGGATGCCATACAAAGATGATGGACAATGAGCAGGGAAGAGGACGGAGGAGGAGGCAGGTTAACATTATTCCATCCAACGCTTTTTCAACTCCTGATCTGTTTTTGTTTACAGTTACACTTTGAACTCCTGATCTGTCTTTTGCGTTTGGCAGGTTAACATTATTCCTTCCAACGCTGTTTGAACTCCTGATCTGTCTTTGTTTACAGTTACATGCCGAATGCTCAACCTCCTGATGAGTTGGTGAAAGTCAGACGGACACAGCTCTCTCTGTCTCTCTCTCTCTCTCTCTCTCTCTCTCTCTCTCTCTCTCTCTCTCTCTCTCTCCTGTCTCTTATACACAGGAAGACAAAACAAATCAC